TGGAGGCCAGAGGCTGACCCAGGCTCCCACATCGCCCGACTCCTGAGCGACCTCGATGGTAGCCGCTCCCCCCAGGATCCAAGACTGCGCTGCTCCAGAGTCAGGTCCAGGCTGAGTCGTCGCTGCATCCGTGGATATGAAGACCCTTGGCAAGGTCAGGCGCCGCGCTGACGTTGCTGACTGACCCAGCGATCTGAGAAGATCCGAGTCTGACACATTGTACGGCGCAACACTGGGACCTCCGCAGAGCTGAAGCGAGAGAAACGATATTCGATCTGGTAGCGGCGCGAGCTGAAAGGTCACACCCTTATCAGAGTTGATGGGCAAAGTGGAAATGACGGAGCTTCCGCTTGATAGAAGGTACGGCGTCGCGATGGCGTCTACGACTGGAGTGGTGCGAGCGGGCGCGGGAACCCCTGACGTGGTGGATGTAGCTGAGCTGCTGCTGCTTGGCGAGGACTGCGCTAAGCATGGTCCCAGACTAGCCAAGAGGATCACTGCGAGCATGAGTAAGCGCGGCAGGATTTGACTGTGCGACCCACATCGCCTTCGTCCTCGTGGTGGGCGTTGAGCGACTGGCCCGATGATGCTTGTTGACTTTACTGAGCAAACGTGTGCCTTTAAAACTGCCGCACAAGTTTCGCAAGGCCAAGCGCCTGGCGGGATGGCCATATTTGCTTTCGTATGGCTCAAAGGCCGACCTGCTACTGTGGCCTCAGTCGAGCGTGAGCCGAGTGCTTTGTATGTCGAGTCCACAGTCCCAAGCGCCATTCAACGCTGGTAAAGTTGACGACCCAGGAGGCATAAAAGATGACCGGGAAACAGACACCGAAATGGTCGCAGATTCCCGAGGATATGATGGTCGTCGCGGGCTTCACGATGGGCACGATTCAATCTTGCGAATAATGATGAACGTGACTCGCGTCAATCAAGAATAGTCGGCGATCGAAAGTCATCATTAACAAAACCTTGAACTTGAATCTTCAATGGTCGAAAGTTTGAGTTCCTCTGCGAGCACACCCCCATCAGTTTTTGATCGACGGCATACTTAACTCGAAATCAAGAATTTACTTTTGGCTCATGTCGAG